TAGAGTCGCCTTCTAACTAATGACACTACCTGAAAGAGTGAATATATAACCTGTCAGGGATCGTTTCTTATCCAAATCGCCCGCATAATCTGAATCAAAATAGCCAAGTATTCTGCAATCTGTGTTTGTGTTCCTGCCAAAATATAAACCAATATTAGCTGATCCTCTCAAATATCTAAGTACTCATTTCACAGCCTGCTAGTGGTCCTTTCCAAGATTATCCATATACCTACTCACAACACTGACTGAATGTGAAATATTTGGACGGGTGCAGACCATAGCATACATAATGGTTCCAAATACACTCGCATAAGGAACACAATATATGTACTGCTCCTCTTCAGTCTGAGATGACAAATCCGCAGAAGACAAAAATAAGCAGCTGTAGGCATCGAAAATTGCCTATAGGTCTCCACGAACAGCTCAGTGCTAAGAAACGACGATGAACGTCACTATCTGATTCACAGAAATTTGATTGATATCGATGAACGCTTGAAGTGAATTGACGAACTACGTAAACCAACAGAATTTTAGAATAACAAAGACGCGAACTGATCGGGAACCTCGTATCGTTCACAAACGGCGAAATACCCTTCGTGTCTCATTTGATCAACTGATAATCTAATCATCGGAACTTATAGAACTCCTCATCAGCTTTCCAACGTACTTTAAATCGTTCAAATCTGAGTTCGGATGAAGAAGTTACGGCGAAAACGAACAAACAGGCATAACGGAGCGTCTCAGGCTGAACTGAGGCACCCGAAGTGTCTCGGCCCAGGTTGAGACACCCAAGGGTGTCTCCAACGCCAGATCTGTCCGTTACGCGGTTTTAACCGCTCGGAACACCCTCAAGCCTATAAATACAAGCCTCAGACCCTTATTTTTCCAGATCTGGATTTTTGGAGAATTGGCGAAGCCCTGCCGGATTGAAAATTGATCGAGTTCATCAATAGTAGAGAGAAAGCTTCTTTAGATTTGCACCGCCCGCATCCGATCCTTAGAATTATCCCGTTGCGATAATTCTAAGAAGAGCAATTATCTCGCCGTTGCCGAGATAAGCGCTTCTGCTTCTAGATTCCTTTGCGAATCGACGGAGTTCTGGATCTGATCTGATTGTCAGGTAGTCCACGGATATCGACATCCCCGTCACCGATTGTCAGGTAGTCCACGGATATCGACATCCCCGTCACCGGCTAAAGACCCACGCAAGCAAGAGACGAAGAACGGATCTTGCGTTATTTTCGAAAAGTTGTAATCTTTTATTCTTTATTTTGAATACTTTGAATTCTTTGTAAGCAATCTATATTATAATGAATTCGACAATGAAGCGAAAACAAACTGGCGACCACAGTGGGAGCCAACAGCCTCGCTGCCGAGGCTGTCGTGACGCAACCGACATTCAAGATCCGGGTGAATGAGGAGATCGAATATGAGTTCGATCAACAAAAGTTTGAAGAGTACCTCTCTTCCTCCTCTTCCAGATCCGCCTCTCCAAACAGGCGCAGGAAGACCTCCTCTTCCAGGAACGCTCGCGGGACCTCAGGATTGAAGATCTAAGATCCCCTCGCCGCTGCTGCACCCATGCCCCGTGACGTCCCTGCAGCGTCCAAAGAGGTCAAAGCTGCAGATCCGGACCACCTCTCCGCCGTGAAGGTAATTATTGAAGGTGCTCCAGCTTTGTCGAAGAGGGCACGCCAAAGACGGCGTCAACGCCTTGCACGACAATTGGCCAAGGCCGCAGAGTCGATGGACGGGATCCGCTATACGGAGGATCTAAAATCAAGGCAGCGCCAAGAACAGCAACGGCGAACCGCCAACTTCTCCTCTAAGACGGAGACGAACGAATGGGTCCGCGTCAAGAAGACTCGCTCCACTTTCGAAGAGCGAATCAAGAAACGCCGCGTATTGCTCGCGCATGCCCGAGTCCTTCTGCAGAAAGCGGAAGAGATGCAGAAAGAAGAGACGGTCAAGAAGCCGCCAAGACATAAGCAGGTTCGGATACCAAAGACAAAACCAGCACCTAAGACGAAAGTGGACGGAGTTACCGTCCATCCTTCTTCAAATTTAGATCCTGTTTCCCCTGTCCCCGCACCTCCGACGGAGCCAGGTAAGAACGTGGGTCCTGTCAGATCCAGAGTTCCTTTGAAAGGTCGCCTCGGTTCTTTACCGGAAGATCGAGGTAAAGCACCTGTCAAGGAGCGATTGGGACCGTTGAAAGGTCCCCAAACAACAAACCAGACTGGGGGTCGTACCAATTCCCCTAAGAAAGATAACAAAGGGAAAGCCCCTGTTACCGACCGCATTGGATTGCAGGTTGAAGTTCAAGAGCCCGTTAAGTTTTCACGCTCGCAAAAGCATAAACTTGAACGAGCGACTTTTGAAAACGCTAATAAAACGTCGTATCCCCAGAGGGAAACACATTCGTCTGATGATGAAGGTGTTATACCTGGGAGGTTATGCCAGCACTCTATGGGTTGCTCCAGTTATCAAACTGACGAGTTGTACTATAGGGCCGGGGGTACGGATAAGTCTCGAAAGAGAAACATTCGAGACACGGATTCTCGTTGTCCGTGTGCCAACATAATCAAGGCAGTGCTATCAGAATGCTGCTGTTCTAAAGCCCCACGAAGAGTTTCTGTGTTTGAGAGAATCTCCACCAGAACATCCGAGGCCAGACCAAGACACTTCCGTAGAAGGAAACCTACTCTTCAGGAGGATGAATTTCCAGAAGTGTCCGTCAATATGACCGGGAGAGGGAAGTCAACGCGACGCTTTAGTCCGGATCAGTTCACCGAGGTGTCCCAACGTATGACTCGATTGCGATCAGGGACCAGTAGGCGAAAGAATTACCAAAGAATACAGAAGGGACTCCCTCCAGATGATGAAACTTCGGATGTTTGCTCAGATGGTTGCTCAGATGCATGCTCAGCAATGGCTTCCGATGACACCGCATCGAGTGCAGGATAACCCTACGAGTCACTTATGATTAGCGCCGAACAGGTGGCTAAGTTGCTCGAGGACGCTCTGACTAAGCAGAAGGAAAATTTCAAGTTCGAAATGGAGATGGCCATGCAGCAGATGAGAGAAATGCATGACCAGCAAATCGCAGCACTGACAACTCATCAAGGAGAGTCTAGTCGTCGCAATAATCCGAATCAAGATGATAACGAGCGGGAAGGTGGCCCTTCGGATGATAACAACACAAAGGAGGATCACATTACTTCT